TTCTGGCAGGTTATTCACTTTGTAAATATTAAAACAAAAGAGGAAGTCACAGAAATGGGGCCTTGTCTATCTCTTTTATGATTACAAACTTCTGTGTGAGATAAAACCTCAAATAATCAGTAAAATAAGTGAATTTTTAATTTTAAAATACATTTTAATGCTTATGTATTTTTTTATTTATTTTTTGTGTTATTTTAATACACAAGTTAATAATAAGAGAGCTTCAATTATGTTACAATGCATTAAGAAAACTCGTTGGTTTGCCTTGGCATTGTAGTGCTAGTCAGATGTTTGTTTTGAATAATGTGCCCTCTCATCAGTACAGTCTTAGAGAATCAGGGCTTCACTCAAAATGGATGACACTTCTCAGTGTTTACTTACTACTTAAAACTTTGTGTTTATCCTCTTGAGCGCTCCACTTAAAAGTCTGACAAAGAGGCCTTGGGGGAGTGGCTTATTTTTAAAATTTTTATTTTGTTTAGTGTATATTATTTTATGATGCTTTATTTTGTTTTCTGCATTTGTAATGTTCTTTTTGTATTTTGAATTTAATATGGCTTTTAATTGCTGAAATAAAGATTTGAAAAAGATAAATGACACAGACAAACCAAATAACTGACACTTATATACAAAAATCCTTAAACTGATTACTAGGCCAAATAAAATTCATTGTCAATGTTAGTTTCACGTCCGGAATTTTTAATTACGTTTTAATGAGGGTAGGTTCATTTACTGTACTACTTGCTATTCTATCCTATACTTTGGTAAAAAGGTTGATATATATATTAAATATTTTTAGTTATAGAAGGAAACTGAATCTGTAGTAATATTTTCCAATTTATATTTCCACCTCTTCTTTGGCTTTGACAACAATCTTTCAGATCATGATTATTTTTATTTTCCATGGAAAATTTTTTTTGAAATAAAACGTAAACTGTATAGTAAATTTTTTCATGAGGCTCCAAAATTTGGTGAGGGCAGGGACGTGAAAAAAGCAAATCAATTATATTTGGCCCTGTAATGAAAAAGTCAATTGATACTCAGAAATTTAGAGTAAATATAACTTGCACTAAATTTAAATTTGAATCTTATTGTTCAAGATGAACAGAGACATGTACAAGACAGCTTTTGTCCTGGCTGAAAATGTGACAGCGTGACAGCATGAAAGAAAACAAACAAAAGAAACAATATGAACACAAAAAGGTAACACCACCTACTGACACAACTATTTATGACCTACTGTATGTTGTATCAATGTTAGGCTCATGGGTCAGGACATTGACCCTAAGGCCTGTACAGAATCTGATATTTTTAACCTTCAGATATAAAACTTTATTGAGTCAAACCAGAAAAAAAAACCAAAAAACTAAAAACCCTCAGTAAATATGGACACAAGTGCACACAAAATCATAACATGAATTCAAAAAGGTGTTCCTATTCAAAATCTTCTTTGGCATCTGAGATGTGGAATACTCCTACCGAAGAAATAATTATACAAAATAAATTTGAATACAAAGATGAATGTTGATAATGAGGATGATAATCACAATTATTAGAAAACTGTTGTGTCATCGATAAATTCTCAGCTTCAACTAAACTATCAATTATTATTTTTCTAGATTTCTTCTTATTGGGAAAACTATTAAATTTGTTTATTTTTTTAAAAAAATTATTTAATTTTGAATATATTCTAAGGCATTCATACAATTCTTATTTTGGCTTTATGGCTGATTGTAAGCACTTTAAAGATACAGTAATACAGTACTGTACAGTAGTTGCAAAAATTGAATAAATTAAGAAAGATTCAGCATCATAGTTCAGATGCTCTGTGATAAACCTGACAAGATGTACAGAGATCAATATTATGATGAGGATAAAATATTCAACCACAGACTTTGAGAGGGGAAGTAAATGACGATGGAATATCTATCCTAGGGGTAGATAGATAGATAGAAATCTTTCTTTATTCTGGATACTCAGTCAGTATTAGTACACTGTTCTTCCCTGAGGTCCAGGGTATGATCTTAAACTACTTTAAATTAAAAACAGAATTGATAAAGAAATATATAAGTTACATAAATATAAGAAGCAGAAAAAAGATTGGTAAATTAAATTAGATTTTTAAAGGATTGTAGGGAAATAGAATGAATATTACTGCGGATATCTGATGATAAATTGTTCCATAA